CTTTCTTTTTGCACTCCCCCCCCCCCAATCCCAACAATGTCGTGTCTGTGTCATTGTGAACGATGTAGATGTAGATGGGCCCTCACACCTGCACTGTAAATACTGTAATGACCACCTCTTGGCATGGACTGCTGTTACTGTTAGTCCAATCGAACGATCTATCAACAGGCGCGGCAACATCGAGAGCTTCAGGAGCAGCCGCCAACCATTGTTGACCTTGCAAATGATACGTCTGTGCAATGTCTACAATATATCATGCCTAAATTTTCTTCAATTATTTGCAATGGCCGAGGAACATGCGCATGCAATTAATGCAGGCACTCAACTGAGAAATGAGACAGCAGCAGCAACGTTGCGATTTAATGGCAACCCACTTGGAATTGGAGGAGATTAGACATAGGATGATGATGATGATGATGATGATGATGATGATGATGATGGAGGTGGTGGTATTTACGAACTGTAAACAGCTGAAATGACACCAGAAATAAAAGCAATGCATGCTGAAGAAGAAATAGCAGAAATAACCGTTATGGTCGACAAAAGCAAGAATACTTACAGTTTTAAGTTGTCATTGATATCTTCTTCCTCATTGTCGTTCTCATTGTCCTCGTCCTCTTCCTCCTACTCTTCTTCTTCTTCTTCTTCTTCTTCTTCTTCTTCTTCTTCTTCTTCTTCTTCTTCTTCTTCTTCTTCTTCTTCTTCTTCTTCCCCTATATATCCACTCACCTCCTCCTCCTCCTCCTCCTCCCCTCCCCTATATATCCACTCACTCCTCCTCCTTCTGTTGGGAGCCCTGGCCGTCCTCTCCCCCGCCTGCCCCGGGGTCCACAGTTTCCCCTCCTCACTCGCCCCCGCCCCCTCTGCCTGCGGACACCCCGACCTCTGACGTAGACAGCGGGACGCGATGACGTCAGACGGCACGACGTTCCCAGTCTCCGGGGCTAACTGCAGCTCGCCGTCAGACGGGCCAGGTATGTCTCCTGTGGATTATGACGGATAAAGGTCAAGCGACCCACACACGAACTATTATATTGTGCAATTTAATTGTCAATACTCGGAATTTACAATTAAGTTGACCGAGTATGGACGATTTTGACGACAAGTGCAATTGTACTGAGTCCATCAAAATCAGTTTGATATTTTATAGCGCAAGCTTACTTGCCTGGACCATTTAATTGACCGTGTGGGGCGACTGTCAATTAAATTGTGCAATAATCATTTTTTCTTCCAGATTTCATACCATCATCACGTCTTGGGTGTCTGATAAAGAAGAAGACAGACCATTTCAACTTGAGTGTGTTTATGTCTACGAAAGTTTACCAGTTCCAAGGAAAGTGAAGTGTGACGATTATAGTAACAAGCAAAAGAAAGATCGAAAAATTCAAGGAAAAGTAGGGGCTAACCAAAACTACAAAAGAAGATGTCGAAAGAAAGATCAATGCCAAGAGAACAAATCATCGAAAGGAATTAAAGAAAGAGCTTGACTAAAAAAATATGAGGTGTAATTTTGTGTGTCCGAACTTTGAACGCTGCGGAAACCATTTTTTGATAATTTTGCATGTTTCCTTTTTGGGAAATCATCTTCGTTTTCTGTAGCAAGGGCAACTGCCACCGCGACTGTTGGGTTGAAATCTCCTATCCTGTCTCGGCGGGTTGCAAGACCGAAATGAGCCTGGTTTGCGCAGTTAGATTGTCAATTATATTGAACTGTGTGTGGGCAGCCTAAAAACTGTCAATTTTATTGTGCAACCAGGATTGCACAATATAATTGATCGTGTATATGCCGTTTTACGTACAATTTCTTTCATTACCAGAAATGATTTATATCAACACATAACACTCTCGTAAATGTTGGTCGGCACCATGTTTTGGTGCGTGTTCGTACCTACAAATATTCGCTGAAAATGCTTACACGTGCCGTATTCGTGTGGACATGGCCAAATAGTGCTTACTTGCGGTAAGTCTTTTCATGAACGGGTATGAGTATAGTAGTTTTTTCCTTTCTTGATTACTCTAAGACATTCAACTGTCTCACTGATTACACAAGACATTCAACTGTCTCACTGATTACCTTAAGACATTCCACTGTCTCACTGATTACCTTAAGACATTCAACTGTCTCACTGATTACCTTAAGACATTCAACTGTCTCACCACGTCTCACCACGTCCCTTCCACCCCTCCCCCTCCCCCCCGCCAGCTCACCTTCATTCACGTGCCTGGTAAGGAAGGACACATTGACCCTGTCACTGTACGAGTACCGAGTCCCGGGCTCCCATCGACATTTCCTCTGTTTATGTTGCTGCTGTTGTTGCTGTTGCTGTTGTTGTTTGGTCTGCTGCAGTTGTTGTTTTAGCTTAGTCGGTTGCTGTTGCTGTTGTTGTTGCTGCTGTTGTTGTTTTAGCTTAGTCGGCTGCTGTTGCTGTTGCTGTTGTTGTTGCTGCTGCTGCTGCTGTTGTTGTTGCTGCTGCTGCTGTTGTTGCAGTTGTAGTTGTTGATGATGTTGCCGCAGTTTCGGCCAGTGCTGTAGACGCTGCCGTTGCCTCCTGCTGGGGTCGGGGCACGCCCACGCGATGAGGGACCCGGGGTCACGGGTCAGAAGGTCAAGGTCGGGGCAGAAGGCGGCCATGTTGGAATAGCTGTGGGCGGGGCCTCGTCTGCTGGGTCTGAGGACGTACTCTGACCTGGCGAGGTCCTTCAGGGGGTCCGGGGGCGGGGGCGGGGGGGGGGGGGTTAGGTGGAAGGGAGGGGTTGTTTTTTTATTGGGGGGTTGGTTTTTGGGGGGGGGGGGTTTTTGAGGGATGGTTTAAATGATCATACCAAAAATATGGCCATATAGAGCTACAATTTGGATTCTAATAATTTAGCATTGGTTCCGCCCTTTCCTCAGACAATTGTGTGTGTGTGTGTGTGTGTGTGTGTGTGTGTGTGTGTGTGTGTGTGTTGGGCTGTGGAGGGTGCGGGTGGTTTGTTGTTGTGTGTGCTTGCGCATGCGCGCACGCTCGGTTCTTACAAGGAGCTACTTAAGAAAAAACAACAGAGAGAAAAGCATCTTAAAGAAAAAGCTACTTAACGCTATCCATACGTCCTGGGGTCCTTTGTATCCTAGGGGTTGTATTCTTCACATTTTCGAATACTTCTAGTACAAAGATCTCTTTGAAATTCTCATTATTTCTCAAAACATCATTTTGACCGACTGCTATCCAAAGCGTACGGATCGGACTAACGAGTAAATTTCCTTTTTGGAAAATGGTGACACAGAGTTCCCCACGTTGTATGGATATGATAGTAAAACACGACGTACGGATAGGGTTAAGTGGTGGCACAGAGTTCCCCACGTCGTATGGATACGATAGTAAAACATGACGTACGGATAGGGTTAAGTGGTGGCACAGAGTTCCCCACGTCGTATGGATACGATAGTAAAACATGACCGCGGATAGGGTTAAGAAAAAACAGCTGAGAGAAGATGGGCGTGCCCGGGTGCTCACTTTCTCCATGGCGTCCGTGACGAGCTTCATGACTGTGAGAATCTTCTGGATAGAGCGGGCCTCCAGTTTGAAGATCCGGCGTCGCTCGCACCAGCGGGACAGCCAGGCCTCCGACTCCTGCCCTGTGTGATGTCATTGTGGGTACAGCGGTAAATGTGACGTCATTGTTGATATAGCGGTAAATGTGACGTCATTTTTGGTGCAACGGTAAATATTCGGGCATCATGGAGGGGAAATCAGGGGCTCGTCAAAAAAAATTAAATCGATTAAATCGACATTTTCCCATGCGTTGGACAATTTCCGTTGATGTTTTACCCAACACTCCTAATGACTACTTACAAACACACTTCAGTGTGGATGTTATTTTTAGAATGTCTACCAAAAGCAGACAAAATATAAATTTGTGGACATTCAATCTTCTGAGATCACTAATCCACATCTTCTTCAATTGCAAACATTTCGACTTCTATTCAAGATACGTTTCGAGGAATGAGCTAAAGTAAGGAGAACGTTCATGGATTTGGAGAAACTTTTGTTATTGAAGTTATCTGGAGACACACATTTTGCAGAAATGATATTATACCTTTCAGTTCTTGATCTGAGGCAAGGCCAAGTCACTTTATGATTAATTTGACAAGCAAACAAATGAAAAAGTTATTGTTTTGTTATTGGAAGGTTTTACGGCGCTCGCAACTGCATAAGATCATGTGAGCGCCACGGGGTGGATGTCAACGAAGAAGTCCAAACAGGGCTTCAGGCTCACTCTTGTGTGTGTGCTCTAAGTTTATTAATTACATTTTTACAGTACAATTGTCAATGGGCGGATTTATCAATGTCATGCTCATCCTGTGCCGGAACAACATAGGGGGAACTGCTGCTTTTTCTTTCCTCATCCTTACTATCGTCATTTTCCTCTGCTTCTTTTGTATGTTTGTCACTCTCTTGTGAACTGCTGTTTCCGGGGTGCCTTGATAGTCGAAGCAAACTTTGTGCTGTTGAAGCTAGAGAGGTGAGCAGAGTAAGCCTGATTCCCCGTTTGGATTTCTCTGTTGACATCCACCCTTTGGCGCTCATATGGCCTTATGCAGTTGCGAGCGCCGTAAAATATCTACTAAAACTATTTTTTTTTAAAACCCACTCAGATCTGTGGGTCCTGACAGGCTGGGTAGAGGTGTGGGCTGTATGTCTACTAAATATTAGTCTACATTTTGCCCGTTTAGAAAAAAAACATTATTTAATTTGTTTATTCATTGATTTATTCACCTGTTTATTCATTTATTAATTTATCCATTTATTTATTTTTGTTTTGATAAAAAAATTATTTTTAT